TGAAGTCCTCTTGATGCAAACTTTCGTAAAAAAGAATTTCTGGCTTTGCTGTAAGGCTCAGTGAGTGCCACACCAGACCACTTCTCTGACAGGGAGAGAAGACAGAGCAATCAAGGGATTATTTTTGCCTGTATAAATAACCAGCTTATCAACTGGGACTCAGTGTCAGGCTCTGAGCCAACAAAGCAATGGAAATCCAAATGAATAGCCCAAAGCCCTTCCCAGAGGCTGGAGGAAAATGGTGCACCTCAGATGGAGGATATGGCCTAAAAGCCATAATTGATATATTTGAACCCGAAGGGATGACGTGCATTAAGAACTACTTTGCTTTGTATTGATAGAACATCCTAACCTGGACCCGACTGAAAATGAAACATCTCAATCTCTCGTTATATAAAAAGCTAATGAAATGGATAAGAAAGAAGGATAGAAAGTGAAATAGCAAAGGGAGTATTCTTCACAAAATAGTAACCAGTTAAATATTTTGAAACAGTGATCTTCTACCTGCTTGGGGAAAACTCCCCCTGCCTGGTGGCCTTGGGCCCTCTTGGATGTGGGACCAGGTGTCCTTATGTCACCAGCCCTTCTTTCCTTCCTTCCTTCCTCTTTTCTGAATGGAGAGGGAGAGAGAGATAGAAACATCAATGATAATAGAGATTCATTGATTGGTTACTTCCTGCATGCCCACACTGGGGATTAAGCCCACATCTGGGCATATGCCCTGACTAGGAATCAAACCATGACCTCCTGATTTATAAATCCACGCTCAACCACTGAGTCACGCTACCTGGGCACTAGCCCTCTTTTGTTGGTTGAGATTGAGATGAGGCCCAGACCAGTTATTTCATTTTGTATTAGATAATGGCCTTTTGTGCCCATCTGTTCTCCGTGAACAGAGTCAAGGGGTGGACTATATCAGGGGATACTTGGATAGTCATGCCAAGCAGCCATTGCAGGGGTATTCGACCTTTTGGGTATTGGAGAGAATGACAAGGTCATATTCCTACAATTTTTTGTCCAGTGCTTGGACACGTGAATCAATGGAATGAAAGAGAACTCACCTGTGAAGAGCCAAGTGCCGGCAAGATTGTGAGAAGAAAAAAGATCGTTGAGCACCCTTTCCAATGATGGCTGCCTCTTACAGCCCTGAATGTTTCGCTCACCGCTTATAAAAACACCCTCTTTGTTGTATCAAAGCCTGGCAAGGAGAAGGGTTTCTTTCCCATGCTTTGGCCAAGAATTCCCCGGAAACAGGAAGTGGCCCCAAAGAACTAAACCCAGAAACAGGTAAGTGGTTGCCTCTAAAGAGTGGGACAGGCATAGGAGAGGTGGGACAGGCATGGGAGAGGCGGAGTGGCCTCTTCATTATAAATCCAAGTGCTATTTTGTTTTGACGGGAAAGGAAATATACACCCAGTGGCCAGATTATTATCTCTGAATGCATAATAATCGGGCCACTCAGTGTATATCCTATATAATAAAAGGCTAATATGCAAATTGTCCCTTGACCAGGAGTTGGACCAGCAGGCAGGCCAGCCAACCGCCTATGTCCCCTCTCCCTGGCCAGGCTGGCCAGACCCCACCCATGCACGAATTCATGCACCAGGCCTCTAATACACACATTGAGTGGCCAGATTATTATACATTCAGAGATCATAATAATCTGGCCACTCAGTGTATATGTATGTTTATTCCTTATCTTCCTCTGCCTGGCTCAGACCCAGGACTCACTCTACTATCTGGTGGATGGGATAGGCCTCAGAGCTAAACATCTCAGGAACAGCCTCCTCAGGAACAGGCCACAGGGGGTCACGTGATGCGCCGAGTGCTGGGGTCACACAGCTGGATGGGGCAGAACCACGATCCCTGCGGTCCTCCAGCTCTTGGTCTTTCCCTGGTGGCCTCAACTCAACCCACCCAGCCTCCTGACTGCCCAGCCTGTGGCTCTCAGCCGAATACCACCTCAAAAGAGATCTGGTGCCTGACCTCAGTGGCTCAGTGGTTGAGCATTGACCTATGAACCAGGAAGTCACAGTTCAATTCCTGGTCAGGGCACATGCCCGGGTTGTGGCCTCAATCCCCAGTAGGGGGTATGCAGAAGGCAGCTGATCCATGATTCTCTCTCATCCTTGATGTTTCTATCTCTCCCTCTCCCTTTCTCTTCAAAATCAATAAAAATATGTTAAATAAAAAAAAGAGCATCTGGCTTCTGGGAGCCAGAGTCACTACTGGTCCCTCCACCTTGAGTGGGGGCAGCAGAGGAGAAGCACAGGGTCTCTTGACCTGGAGGAGGAGAAGATGCCAAGACATCTCTGAGATGGGACTGTGGCAGCGATGACACCTGCCAGCCCCAGGGTGCCAGGCTGTCTGCCAAACACCCACCAGAATTAGCTTGCTTAATCCTCATGAATATTTATTTCAGAGGCAGATACTATTCCCCTCCCCCACTGCGTTACAGATGAGGAAACAGGCTGACTCGGAGAGACAGGAATGAATCCAGACCTTTAAGCTCCAAGCTCGGGGTTTTATCTCATGACACACAGTCTAGTACATCCTTGCTTTGGAGATTAGGCCGGTGTGGCTAAATGGTTGAGCATCAACCTATGAACCAGGAAATCATAGTTTGATTCCAGGCCAGCGTACATTTTTTTGGGGGGTTGTGGGCTGGATCCCCAGAGTGGGGATGTGCAGGAGGCAGTGGATCAATGATTCTCATTATTAATATTTCTATCTCTCCCTCCCTCCCTCTTCTTCTCTAAAATCAATTTAAAAAATACTTTTAAAAAAGAGATCAAGGACATAAGCTGCGATATAGAGAATGCTTTGAAACAAGTTTGGCTGCTTCTGGATGTGTTGTGCTTCCAGGCTTTCGTCTGTCTGGACACCAAGAGAGGAGGGGAGAGCCCTGGCCCATTTGGCTCAGTGGATGGAGCGTTGGCCTGCGGACTGAAGGGTCACAGGTTCGATCCCGGCCAAGGGCACATGCCCGGGGTTGTGGGCTCAATCCCCAGTAGGGGGGCGTGCAGGAGGCAGCTGATGGATTGTTCTCTCCTATCACTGATGTTTCTATCTCTTTATCCCTCTTTCTTCCTCTCTGAAATCAATAAAGAAATATATTTTTAAAAAAGAGAGAGAGAGGAGGGGAGAGAGCAGGGAGGAAGGGAGGGAAGGGGGAGAGGTTAGAAGCAGGCAGAGGTTAGAAGGGGACGGAGGCAGAGAAGCAGGTTCAGTCCACTCTGTTTTTGTTTTTTGTTTTTTTAAATATATTTTATTAATTTTGTACAGAGAGGAAGGGAGAGAGATAGAGAGTTAGAAACATCGATGAGAGAGAGTCATCGATCAGCTGCCTCTTGCACACCCCCTACTGGAGATATGCCCGCAACCAAGGTACATGCCCTTGACCAGAATCGAACCCGGGACCCTTCAGTCTCCAAGCCGATGCTCTATCCACTGAGCCACACCGGTCTCGGCAGTCCCCTCTGTCTTGACTGTGACTTCTTCCTTGATGAGGCCCCCTCTGAGGGCAGCTCCGTCCACCCTTGTGGAGGCTGCACCCAGAGGCACTGGACCCGCTCAGGACACACCAGATGACGTCACGGGCACTGAGTTTACCATCGTTGACCTGAAATAAATAGCCAGATATTTCTCCAGTAAAAATGGGTTTATTTGGAAACAACAAAGAATTGCAATTCAGGACAGGCAGCCCAATAGCAAAGCATTTGAAGTTCCGACAAAGGAGAGGAAATTCTTTTGTAGAAGAGGAATTCCGGAAAGCTAAGATAAACAAAGACCCCTTCCTGCTGGGCTGCAGGGACCAGGCACCTTAGAGCTCTCCCTTCTGGCCTCCCAGCTTCATTTTAAATGGGGTTTGTGTTTATTTTTACAGAATCAGGCACCCCCACAGAGCGGGTAGGACAGAGCGTGGCTTTCTGCCAGGAAAGGAAGTTTGCAAAGAAGCTGGTATAGTCTGAGCCCCTTTTGTAAAATGAATACCATTTGACAGTATTCACTTAAGAAAAAAGTCTGGACCAAAAATGCCACAAAAGCCGAAACCGGTGTGGCTCAGTGGATAGAGTGTCGGCCTGTGGACTGAAAGGTCCCAGGTCCGATTCCGGTCAAGGGCATGTGCCTTGGTTGCAGACACATCTCCGGTGGGAGGTGTGCAGGAGGCAGCTGATCAGTGTTTCTCATCTGATGTTTCTAACTCTCTATCTCTCTCCCTTCCTCTCTGCAAAAAATCATTAAAATATATTTTTTAAAAATAGGGGGGGGGGGGAAAGAGGGTATCCTGCCCTCCTTGCATCAATCTCCAGGTTTTTTCCCCCAGAACAACCAGCACGTGCAGGAACTGCACTCTGTGCTACGAGGTAATATTTATGCATCATAAAAGGTTTTGTCCTGAGTGTGTGTGTTTAATTATTAAAGAGATGTAAATCCTGTCAGATAGGTTTAATGATTAGTTTGAGGATTGAAACACTAAACGGTTTGTCCCTTGACTTTGCACATGGTTGCTTAGGTGTCAAAGAGAAGAATGGAACAAAAGGGCAAATTGTGTGATTTTGTTTTGTGTGTAGGATGCTTAGACCTGAAAACACTTTGACCATCTGTGACAGCTACACTGCATCCTTTCCCTTCAAGCTCAGGAAGACAGATTGCTGTGACAATTACTGGTGGAGTGAGAAAGGGAGACTGGGTAAGAGGTAAAATGAAAGGTAAGGTGCACTGTCTGAGACACTGAGGAGCACTGAGGGCAGGGGGACAAGGAGGCCACAGGAGGGGCCGTGGGAAGGATGAGCATAATCAGGGTGGGCTTCCTGGAAGAGGTGTGAGTGTTTGGGAGCAGAGGAGCATGGAGAGGAGGGCATCTCAGAGGAGGAAGACAAGTTAAGAGGGCAGAACTCAGTGGGTCATGCCTAGTGGGGGGCCCACTTGCCTTGTTCCCCTGTTCCCTGAAAGAGGTTGGGGTCCCTGCCTTTGCTGTGACAAAGCTGAAGGGGAAGCCCAACAACCTACACCGAATCTGAACTCTGCCCAGGAATTCCCATTAAAATGAGAACAGAGGCCAAAGTGCAAGCAGGTTGTGCCCAGCCTATCCTCCCAGAAATCCACGCTGCCGCCTGCCCCTGAGAGAGGCTCGTTCACCACAAAAATGTGAGTAGGAAGAGGACCCTGCCTCCCTCGGTGCGGCCGTGCGTTTGTGTCTGTGTGTCTGTGCGGCTGTGTGTCTGTGTCTGTGTGCTCATGGGTAGGTGGGCTCTCCCAGGAAAGAAAAAGAGAGGGAACAGGAGTGGGGAGACATGGGGTCTCAGGGCTCTTACTTACAGGTGAGTTTAAGTCTATGAACTGAGCTTCAGTTAAAAAATAAATAAATAAAAATAAAAAGGAGCCGAAACCAGTTTGGCTCAGTGGATAGAGTGTTGGCCTACAGACTGAAGGATCCCAGGTTCGATTCTGGTCAAGGGCATGTACCTTGGTTGCGGGCACATCCCCAGTAAGGGGTGTGCAGGAGGCAGCTGATCGATGTTTCTCTCTTATTGATGTTTCTAGCTCTCTATCCCTCTCCCTTCCTTTCTGTAAAAAAAAAATCAATAAAAAATATATTTTTTTTAAAAAAGGAAAGAAAGAAAGAGGACTATATTAGCTCTTGTAATTGATAAGTCCAGGGGCAGGGCTGATTTCAGGGACAATTGGGTACAGGGACTAGAATGAGGTTTCTAGGACATTGTGTCTCCACCTTTCAGAGGTCTGATGACAGTACAATACAATGAAAATATCACTTAATGGCAATGGTGGGTGTTTTTTAAAAAAAATAATGTATTTTTTATTGATTTCAGAGAGGAAGGAAGAAGGAGAGGGGGAGAGAGAGATGGAAATATCAATGATGAGAGAGAATCATTGACTGGCTGCCTCCTGCACATCCCACACTGGGGATGTAGCCCACAACCTGGGCATGTGCCCTGACCGGGAATCGAACCGCGACCTCTGGTTCATAGGGCGATGCTCAACCACCGAGCCACGCAATGGTTTTAATGTACTGTGGGGAGCGTTGAAAGCTAGAGCCTCTCTTCACCAAAATACCTGTATCAAGTACACATACGTGTTACCCAGAATTCCTTCCTTCCCCTTCCCGTATAGCGGGCAGACTTTCCCTGTTTCTGCCTGGCCTCGTGAGTTTCTGAGAACTTGCCTCTCACTGGTTCAGAAGTGGGCACGGGAAGGGATGCCTTCCGCTGTCCCTGGGGAGTCACGGCCATGCCCCCGGCCAAGATGAGGGCTGGGTTCTGGGATGGCAGGAGCTACGTTAGGTGACTGGTCCCCCCCTGCCATCCCTCTCCCTTCCCATCCACCTTCCTCCTCAGCTCCCTCCCTGGCCGCCCCCTTTCAGCTCTGGGCCTCCCTCTGTTTTCCAGCTGGAAGATCTGGCACATGGAGACCAACACACCGAGGCCCAAAGAGTCCATCTCTCTCGCATCCGTGGCCAACGGTCTGGACAACATGGGGGCTGAGATCTTGGAAAGCCTGGTCTGTCCCCTTCCCCAGCCCCCTCTTGGTCCCCTAGTGGGAAGGACTTTTGCTCACCATCTTCCTTCCCCACCCCTCCAGTGTGATGGCCTCCTCAGCGCAGAGCAGCCCCTTATGTCACTTCTTAAACACGCGTGCGCCCATCATGTGCCCGTAGGGCCCGCCCTAGCCTGAACGGTCAGGAAGGTCTCAACCGCGAGGAGCCATGGGGCTGCGATGTAAAGGATGAGAAGGGGAAAGCACGTGGGGGTCGGGCTGGCGTGGGGGTGGGGGTCCCCGAGGAAGCCTCAGCCTTTGGGGAGCTGGCAGGCCTGTCCTTGCTCTGGAACGGCCAGGTCGGGCCCCACCACTCAGAACTCTGGACCCTAAAATGACACCCTCTTCCCTCCCCACGTCCCCTTCCCTCGCCTCACTGCACAACCCAGGGTGCACTTTTCACACTGCAATTTGTAAGAGTCACTCCCCTACATGTCAGAACCCAACTCCACGGACTATGAGGTTATTGGTGGTGACCAGGCAGCCCTGCCTGGCACTCCCCACCGGCCATAGCTCAGTGTCCCTCCCTGGCACAGAGCCCAGCACACAGTAGGTGCCCAATGCATGCATGCTCTGCAGAATTTAAGTTGCCCTCCAGTGACTTCCTGTGCAAAAGCCCACCCACCCCGGCCCACTCTCCAAGTGACTGTGGGCACACTGGTGGCAGCCAGGGCCTCTCCCATTCTGGGCCCCCACTCTAGTTCTCACTTGGGGCGGCAGAGACACTGTGGTCACTCTCTGGTGGCTTTAGGAGGAAGGCCAGACTCCAGGCGGCGACTTGAGCCCTGCAGAGGGCGGGAACAGTTCGAACAAAGCCAGCCGGGAGCCCTTCTCAGGAGGGTAAGTGGTCGGCAGGAGGGGGGAGGAGAAGAGGGGGGAGACGCGGGCTGGATGGGGAGTGGGGGAAGCCGCCACGGGGAGCAGGGGTGAGAGCATGCTCTCTGCCAGGCAGAAACACAACTCCCAGTAACTTTGCTGACCGAAGGAGAAAACACGATTTAGCTCACGAATGTGCTCTGCTGGCCTCTGCCTCTGTCCAAGGCAGGCCAGGCCCGAGGCTCCCAACCTGCCAGAGTGAAATCTCATTGGAAACCCCCAAATATGGTTTAACTCAGATGGGACTCCCAAGCTAGACTGGCCCCCCTCTTAATTATTCGGTCTCTGGGCACCTTGGGTAAGGTGACGATACGTCCCGCTTTTTGGCAGACAGTCCCGATTTTTAACAATTTGTCCCGCGTCCTGAGGCGTTTAAAAAAAAAAAAAAGTCCTGATTTTTAAAACGCCACGGGACAAATTGTTAAAAATCGGGACTGTCCCGCCCAAAGCGGGACGTCCGGTCACCTTAACCTTGGGGGACCTCGAGGCTTAGTTTGAAAAGCCCTGGCCTTGGCCAGGCCCCTCTTCTCACGTGGGAAGGCTGGAGCCCAGAGAAGGAAAGGGACGGACCCAGGTCACACAGGCAGCAAGCAGGAGCCTCGAACTGAGCCTCCCAATACGTAGGCCCGCTGGGGTGCTCACTGGTCAGTCCTGAGCCGAGGAGAACGGAGCGGGGGTTCCGTCTGTCTGTCTTAGAGCAAGACTGGCGAAGATGACGGAGGAGGTGGGGGATGGGACAGAGAGAGGGAAGAGAGAGGCCTTAAAGCTAAGGTGATGAGACGTCCCGCTTTTAGATTCTTTCCAAAAATCGGGACTTATTTATTTATTTTATTGATTTTTTTTTTTTTTTTTTTTTTTTTTTTTTTTTTACAGAGAGAAAGAGAGAGGGATAGAGAGTTAGAAACACTGATGAGAGAGAAACATCGATCAGCTGCCTCTTGCACAGCCCCTACTGGAGATGTGCTCACAACCAAGGTACATGCCCTTGACCGGAATCAAATCTGAGACCTCAGTCTGCAGGTCGACGCTCTATCCACTGAGCCAAACCGGTTTCGGCAATCAGGACTTTTTTAAAAACGCCGTAGGACACGGGACAAATTGTTTAAAATCGGGACTGTCCCGCCAAAAGCGGGACGTCTGGTCACCTTACTTACAGCAGCAGCCGTGCAGCCTGTGAGACCCCAGAGGCTAATCGGATTCCAGCCTCTATGCAAGGATAGGCCAGTGACCAGATGCCCGGGAAAGAACTGGCGTTGCACTGGGCCTGGAAGGAAGTGGGGCCACAGCTGCTGGCATAAAGCAGACTGTTCCCATATTTCTGAGGAGAGCCGCTGAGTCGGCGAGGAGTGTCCCGGGTCCCCAGGGGGTAAATGCAGAGCTGGGAGCCTCGCCCCCTTGCTCCATGGGGCGGGAGCGGGGCTGCTGGCATGGTTTGTGCGTGTTGTTTGGCAGCTGTTTGCTGGGGAGTTCTTCCTGCTGGCAGGCGATTCCCCTCCAGGCCTGCAGGCAGGGTCCTCCCTGGGCCGGTGCTGAGTAGCCTGAGCCTTTCCTCTGTTTGCTCAGCGCTGTGGGGTGTCAAGGCCAGTGCCTGGCTCACCCCCTATCACTCTTTCATTGGAGCGGCTTCCACCTGGAGGTGTTAAGGGTCCCCATGGCGACGGGAGCCTGGGGGCCACTTGTGGACTCTCTGGTCTTCTCCCCAGGAGGAGCCTGCAGCCAGCCCTGAGAGCGAGGCGCTTCTGCAGAGAGCACACACAACTGTTCCGATGGATCCGCACGGGCCTGCTCTGTACCGGTGAGCTTGGGCCCGGCCCCGCCCACCCCGCCCACCCATGTCTGCCATCTCCACCCCTGCCTGCCATGTCTCAGGGCAGGGTCGTTAACTCACCCAGCAATTCAACAGAGCTTTGTTGAGCGCCAGCTCAGGGCCAGTGTCCGTGCCGGAAGCAGGGTCAGCAGAATTAAGGCAGACCAGATCTTGTTCCCCAGGCACTCTGATCAGCAAGGGAGAAGACAACAACTGTGTCCACATAGGGCAGCGTGCCATCTGGCTGGGAGCACCAAGGAAGGATGGGGGTGATCAGGGAGGACTTCCCGGAGGAGGTGGCATCTGAGTCTCACTGATTGAGCAGGAGTCGGCCAGGTGTAAGGGAAGGACAATAAGGAGTGAGAGGCACTCCGTGCAGAGGAACCCCAGGAGCAAAAGTGAAAAGGGACAGGGTGCGGACAGGGAGCTGATCAACAGTCTAGTGTGGCTAGAGGGTAATGTTGTGGACAAGGAGCCAGAGGATGAGGCTGTATGGATGAGAAAGGGGCTGATATTGTGTCGATGAGAGAACATCCAAACCTGGAGAGAGTTTGTATGATACTTTATTTGAGCCAAACAGAGGATAATGCCTGCAAGCAAGATCTCAACAAAACTGAAAAAAATACTTCTGAGACTAACAGTTTGCAGCTTCTTTTATGCATTTGAGATTAAGGAGGGAACGAAAGGATGATTACTTAAACGTTGGAGAAAGCCAAGTGCAGGCCCTCCAACTAATACCCTCCAACTAGTCTGGTGACAGAGGGAGTGGGGTAGAGCTTACACTTACAGTGCTTCACCCCACATCTTTTTAAAAAATATATTTTATTGATTTTTTACAGAGAGGAAGAGAGAGGGATAGAGAGTTAGAAACATCGATGAGAGAGACATCAATCAGCTGCCTCCTGCACACCCCTCACTGGGGATGTGCCCGCAACCAAGGTACATGCCCTTGACAGGAATCGAACCTAGGACCCTTCAGTCCGCAGGCTGACGCTCTATCCACTGAGCCAAACCGGTTTCGGCCACCCCACATCTTTATCCAATGGAAATTCTATGTGTATCTTCTCACTCTTCAAGAGCCCTGGTTTTTGAAACTCAGAAGCCAGAGAGAGATATTTCCCCTCTGCTATTTACTATCTTTTCCTTTCTTAAAAAAAAAAAAAAATATATATATATATATATATATATATATATATATATATATATTGATTTTTTTATAGAGAGGAAGGGAGAGGGATAGAGAGAAACATCGATGAGAGAGAAACACTGATCAGTTACCTCCTACACACCCCCTCCTGGGGATGTGCCCGCAACCAAGGCCCTTGACGGGACTCGAACCCGGGACCCTTCAGTCCGCAGGCAGATGCTCTATCCACTAAGCCAAACCAGTTAGGCCTATCTTTTCCTTTCTTAAAAAAAAATTGTTTAAATTGATTTCACAGAGAAAGGGAGAGGGAGAGGGAGAGGGAAAGATAGAAACATCAATGATGACAGAGAATCATGGGTCGGCTGCCTCCTGCACGTACCCCACTGGGGATCGAGCCTGCAACCCGGGCATGTGCCCTGCCTGGGAATCAGAATGTGACCTCCTGTTTCACAGGTCGACGCTCAACCACTGAACCATACCGGCCGGGCTCATATTCCTTTCTGGAGGCATAGCAAGGACTGGTTTAGCTCCTCCTCCTCCTCAAGGGGGAGGAGGGCAAAGGGGGAAAAGGAGATTCCAGGAAGAAAATGTCACTGATGAATACTGCAGACCGGGATCCTTCCTGGAATACCTGACTTCTTTACCTCTGTCCTCTGTGGAAGCCAGTTCGCTCCGGAGCACAGCAGGCACTCTTTTGATGCTAGAATAAGCCATGCTGTCTAGCTTCCTCCAAGCACATCTCCTCGCTCCCGTTGGGTCAGCACTTGACAGTTTTCAGAGCTCTTACACGCTATCAGTTAACTCTGTAACCACCCTCAACACTAAGGTGACCAGACGCCCCGCTTTTGGCGGGACAGTCCCAATTTTTAACAATTTGTCCCATGTCCAGCGGCGTTTTAAAAAGCCCCGATTGCCGGAACCGGTTTGGCTCAGTGGATTGAGCGTCGGTCTGTGGACTGAAGGGTCCCAGGTTCGATTCGGGTCAAGGGCATGTACATTGGTTGAGGGCACATCCCCAGTGGGGGGTGTGCAGGAGGCAGTTGGTCGATGTTTCTCTCTCATTGATGTTTCTAGCTCTCTATTCCTCTCCCTTCCTCTCTGTAAAAAATCAATTTATATATATATATATATATATATCTCCCAAATTTTTGGAAAGAATGCACGACAAGCTAGGGAACGGCAGGAGAACGGGAAGGAAATATACTGTTTTTGGTGGCCATGTGGCTATTTAGCCAGGATATGAGTTTTATATTATTTTTGTTAATTTTATAATGTTAAACTTTAATAATAACAAACCTCCGCAGCTTGGGTCCCAGCAGCCTTTTAACTTTAATAATAACAAACCTCCGCAGAGAATTGATTATCGAGAACTGCTTATCAAAGTTCGCATTGAAAATTCGGGACATTTTTAAAACACCGTGGGACGTGGTTAAAAATTGGGACTGTCCTGCCAAAAGCGGGACGTCTGGTCACCTTACTCAACACAGGAGGGATGATTGTTCTCACTTCCAAGCGAGGAATGTGGCTCAGAGGGGTTGGGTGAAATTCACGCCCACCAAGTTCTGGATGGGGTCTTTGGAGCCAGAGGGCGGGGCTTCAGGGACCCACAGGGACCCACGTCATCACTGACCCCCCTTCTCATCCTTTCCCCTGCCACTCCCAGCGTTTGCGGCCTTCCTGCTGATCGCCTGCCTCCTGAATTTCCAGAGGGCCCTGGCCCTGTTTGTCCTCACATGTGTGGTCCTGGCCTTCTTGGCCCACGGCCTGCTGAAGAAGCTGCTGGGACCAAAGCTGCGGAGGTGTGCCAGGCCTCTGGGGCATCCCCGCCTGAGCCTCTGGCTCAAGAGGTGAGTGAGCTCGCAGCCCCCAGCTGGGGCAGGGTGAGAAGGTGTGGGGCACAGAGGCTGAGGGCCTCTGAGTCAGCTCTGGGGGCACAGCCAGGGCTGGGTGAGCAGGGCCTCCTCGGCCCATCCCATCGGCCAGTTCCTGTGCCATGGAGGGCGGACTCCACCCTGCTTGCCTTTTGGAGGCCCCAGGGCAAGCGTTGCTGGGTGGCATCAAAGATGGCAGCGATCTTTGTGGAGATGTGCCAGTTGCTGGCTGGTTTTCTGCCCCAGTTACAACAGCTGACTGACAGCAGAGGACAGGACTCGACAGTTTCCTAAAGTAAGAGGTGCCAGCTCATCCCGGCGGGGAGGGCCCCTCTCCCCGCCTCCTGTCAGATCTCCGGGGACACGTGTGAGACGTGTAGCTGCAGGGTGACCACCCTGGAGTCTGAATCAGCAGGCTGGGCCGGGGCCCAGGTATCATTACTTTCAGGTCGCCCCCTGGGGATTTCATTGGTGTCGTCATTGTTGTTAATCCTCACCCAAAGATATTTCTCCCATTGATTTTCAGAAACTATCGATAGAAGGGAGGGAAAGAGGAAAAGGGAGGGGGCAAAGGAAAGGGAAAGAGAGAGAAAGAGAAAGAAACATCGATGGGAGAGAGATACACTGATTGGTTGCCTCCCACACACACCCCGACTGGGACCAGGGATCAAACCTGCAACCCATGTAGGTGCCCTTGACCATGAATTGAACCTGAGACCCTTTAGTCCATAGGCCGATGCTCTAACGCATGAGCCATACCACCCAGGGCAACAGCGAATTTTTAAAATATATATATTTTATTGATTTTTTTACAGAGGGGAAGGGAAGGATGGAGAGTTAGAAACATCAATGAGAGAGAAACATCGATCAGCTGCCTCCTGCACATCCGCTACTGTGCCCACAACCAAGGTACATGCCCTTGACCAGAATGGAACCTGGGACCCTTCAGTCCGAAGGCCGATGCTCTATCCACTGAGCCAAACTGGTTATGCCAGTGGTTGGCAAACTCATTAGTCAACAGAGCAGCAAACCTCTGCCCTCGAGCCGCATGTGGCTCATGAACCACAGTTTGCCGACCCCTGGGTTAGGCTGTTAAGGCAACGGAATTTTTTAAAAAAGTATATTTTTGTTGATTTCAGAGAGGAAGGGAAAGGGAGAGAGAAACATCAATGAGGAGAAAGAATCATTGGCCACCTGCCTCCTGCACGCCCCCTACTGGGGACTGGGCTCCCAATCCGGGCATGTGCACTGATCAGGAATCAAACCCTGACCTGGTTCATAGGTCAGCACTCAATCACTGAGCCGTGCCGCTGGGCCTAACACCATATACATAGTAAATAATGGTGGGATCTGATTTCACTGTATTTAGTTGTTAGTCCTCTCCCAACCCTGAGAAGTGGAGAGCCTTTTCCTTTTCCCAGTGACTCAGAGAGGCTAGTGGTTTTCCTGAAGTCACACAGCTCTCTCTCCTCCCACCAGCCCTGAGTGTGCTTTCCTTGTGAGGTTGGGGGAGATGCTGAGGGCGATGTCTTTCCGCCGGTCCCTTGCAGGGGTGCAGCCCTCGCCGCTTTCCTGGGCCTGGTCCTCTGGCTGGCTCTGGACACCTCCCGGCGGCCGGAGCAGCTGGTGTCCTTTGCGGGAATCTGCGTGTTCATCTGCGTCCTCTTCGCCTGCTCGAAGCATCACCGCACAGTGAGTGCTTAGCTGTCAGGCGTGAGTGGGGCTCAGCCCTTTCTCTCCCTCGGCCTCCTTGGCGATGCAACTGCCCCAATATCAGGACCCCTCCTGGTTTCACAGTGTGGCTAACACCTCACCTCCCCTCAACCCCCCCACTCCCACCCCCAGCTCCAGCCAAGCCTCCCAGAGATCCTGGTGCACACCGGGGTTTGGAGGTCGCCACTAAGGAATCACTAAATGCTGAGAGGCATCCAGCTCCCTGCTGCTGGAGTGAGGGCTCTGACAGAGGGGGGATTAGGGTAGCAGGCATGGGGGGAGGGTCCAGGCAGAGGGAGGTTACACTGAGGCCAGACCCGCAGGCCACAACTCCGCCCACCAGCAATCACCCGGGACCAAGTGCCATGGCATGCCCAAGGCTGGTCAAGGCTTACATGTGTCCCCAGTTAGACCAACTCCCGCCTGCTACCCTAGTCTCACTGCCGCCAAGGCTGTGGCCTGTTATGAACTCCAGGGAGGGTGTGACCACTGGCAAGAGGTCCCACCTCTGGCTAGGTCCAGCCCTGTCCTACAGGCAGCCAAAGCCCCTCAGAGCAGCCCCTGGCCTCTGCTCTCACCCCACCCTGACCCCAGAGGATGGCCCCCGGGGAGCTGAGCTCTCAGGTCCTCTCTGTATCGGTGGCAGGTGTCCTGGCGGGCCGTGTCCTGGGGTCTCGGGCTGCAGTTTGTACTCGGCCTCCTTGTCATCAGAACGGAACCTGGATTTATCGCGTTCCAATGGCTGGGCGACCAGATCCAGGTGCGTACGTGAAGCCCGGCTTCCCAGGGCATTGTGGGTACCGGGGAAGGGGGGAGGCGCCATTCTGTTGGGGGACAGCGGGGGGTGAGGCCTTAGAGAGGGATTGGGACCAGGATGGTGGGTGTGTGGTGGGCCCCAGACCAAGAGGGCAGCTGGGGGTTAGGCTGTGCAGCTGGTACTTCCCTCGGTCCTGGTGCCCCCAGACAGACTGAGACTGGGTCTGATCTGGGACAGAGGCATGTGGTCCTTGGCAGTCTTAAGTGATGTGGAATTTATAACGGGAGTGCTGAAAAAATGGCAAATGATTTACATCGTGTATGTGTGTGTTTGAAGACAATGTGTAGTTTATTGAAGTTATACTTTTTAAATTTCATTTTTATTGTAGTAAGTACACATAACAGCTACCCCAACTTAACCATTTTTATTTTTTAAATGTATTTTTAAATATTTCAGAAATTAAGAAAGAGAGATAGAAACATCAATGATGAGAGAGAATCATTGATTGGCTGCCTCCTACATGCCCCCCACTGAGGATCTGGGCATGTGCCTTGACCGGAATCAAACCTGGGACTCTTCAGTCTGCAGGCTGACGCTCTCTCCACTGAGCCATACCGGCGAGGGCCCATATGAACCATTTTTAAATGTCACTGAGTTTATTCACATTGTTGTGCAATCATCGTGACTTACTTTGTAAACTATGAATTATGGAAGACTAAAGGTTAATCCTGTACTCAGCCCTGACATACACATTTCCACGTGCCCCGGAGGAGAAAGCCCTGCGTGTCTGGGCTGTGTTTCTGTGTGGGTGTGGAGCCGAGGAGACGGAGCTGCTACTCCAGTCATGTCCCCATTTTACAGATGGGGATACTGAGGCCTGGATAGGAGGAGTGACTTGTCCCTGCAGCCTCAATGCAAGTTCTGGACCTACGTCTGGTCTTCTGTGGAAGTGTGTCCAGATTCAAACACCAAAGCCACCAGCCTGGGACAGGGACAGATGGGGGCTGTGCCTCGGTCAGGAGGGAGGGGGGAGCAGGCAGCTCTTGACAGTTGTCTCCCCTCTTACTGTCTGGCTCCCCTTGTTGTTGTTTTTCTTTTCTTTTCTTTTTTTCATATATTTTATTGATTTTTTACAGAGAGGAAGAGAGAAGGGGGAGGGAGGGCGAGAGAGAGCTAGAAACATCGATGAGAGAGAAACATCGATCAGCTGCCTCCTGCACACTCCCCACTGGGGAGGTGCCCACAACCAAGGTACACGCCCTTGACCGGAATCGAACCTGGGACCCTTCAGTCCGCAGGCCGACGCTCTATCCACTGAGCCAAACAGGTCAGGGGTGCCTTCTTTGTTTTGTTTGTTTGTTTTTAAATCTAAATAACTCTCATCTCAGAACATTTCTTTAAAATGTATTGAAAGAGTATATCTTCTGGAGAGAGTGGCCATGAACGTGGCTTTAAAGACGCACACTGCCAGGTGGTGCCCAGCTTCTACATGACCAAGGCCTGGGGGCCTAGTCCTTGGACCAACCTGCCCAGTTTCCTTGCTCTCTCCCTCGTTCATGGGCTCACTCTGGATTTCGTTTTGTTTCATTTTCTCCTTTCAGATCTTCCTGAGCTACACCGAGGCCGGCTCCAGCTTCGTGTTTGGGGAAGCGCTGGTCAAGGATGTCTTTGCCTTTCAGGTCAGCTGACTGTTGGCCCACAAGGCCTTTAGCAGCCTCTGCCAGGCACCTCCAGCCAGTGGGGAGCCGGAGCCAGCTGTGTGGGCCAGGCCTGGGCGGGGCTTCTAGAAGCTGTTGAAGTTAATTAAGCCTTGGGTCCTGGGAGGAGCCCTGGCAGTGGGATGCCCTGGCTTAGCGGTTTGCTTTTGGTTCTGTTCGCTGCATCCTTCATCTTTTCTCCTTTTCTGGAAGAATGTGCACAAACCTGAAATTTGCATCTCCCCCACCTCCCCCCAAGCACGCTTCAGACCATGAATTCATAGCCCGTTAGGCTACAAGGATGCTCAGCGATCCTGGGCCTCCGTTTATATGACAAGGGCTCACCCCGAGAGGAGCGGGGACCTGGCCACAGTGGCCAGCGAGTTAGGGCGGAGCCACGCCGAGAAGTTGGTCGCTGGACTTCCGGTCACGTGATATTTCCTCCTCCTGCGCCGAGAAGTCAGTGACGTCATACCTTCCTTCCAAAGAGCATGTCTAATCGCGGTAGTAATTCGTGTAAATCATATTAGTGGTTGCTAAAGATTTTGAGATTGGATGTTCTGTCAAGAGATAAAAACACGAGGGAGGGAGGCTTATCATTAACCAGCCTCAGCATTTCCCTGTCAGACACTAACTGTTTCCTGGCCGCTGCGAGGTCCTGGGCCGTGGACAGTCTGTCAGTGGATTAGCCAGGGCTGGCTTTCTTTTCTTTTCTTTCTTTTATTTTTTAATATATTTTATTGAGTTTTCACAGAGAGGAAGAGAGAGGGATAGAGAGTTAGAAACATTGATGAGAGAGAAACATCGATCAGCTGCCTCCTGCACACCCTCCACTGGGGATCTGCCCACAACCAAGGCACATGCCCTTGACCGGAATCGAACCTGGGACCCTTCAGTCCACAGGCCGACGCTCTATCCGCTGAGCCAAACCGGTTTCGGCTAGCCAGGGCTTTCTGAGCAAAGATGGGTCAGGCGAGGGAGGACTTCAGACAAATGGTCCTTCGCCACAGAATTCCCTCTCTCATAAGATTCACGAGTTACAGATTTCCCTCCTCCCCTGCACTATGCACACGCACACATAAACACATACATTCACGCATGCATGTGTGCACACATCCATGCACGCACATGCGCATGTGCGTGTGCGTGTGCGCGCACGAGCACACACACACACACACACACACACACACTTGCCAGGCTTGGGACTAATCCTCCGTGTAGGAGTGGCTTTGTTGCTGAGCCGACTAGAAGACTCAGAAGCTTTCTCTTGGTTCTTTCCATGAATCATGTGGACCCAGTCCAAGGCCCTTGGCCCATGTCAGCCCCGGGGAAGACTTCCCCGGGGCTCGTTCAGATTTTCAGAATCCCAGCTGCTTCCCGCTGGGCCACGGTCCAGCTCATCACTCCTCCAGGAAGCGGAGCCCCTGCGGGAGGGAGGCTCCCTCAGTCCCCTCCGCCCCTGGCCTGGCGTCCAGCGCAGCTGAGGCGGCGGCGGCCCGGCTGGATCATTTTGATTAGTCATTCCGCCTTGGCTCCGGCTCCCTTCTGGTAACTTTCCGCCCACACGACGGCCTCCCCGCAGGCTCCTGCGTCCTTCCTGGGTCTGGCTGAGCTGGCGCACACGTTTGCTCATCCCGTTACTAACACTCCGGCCTCTGGAACGTGCACCCGCTTGCTAAGCTCAGTAGTGCTGCTCGCGTGGTCTTCTCTGGGGGAGCCCTAGGGAGAAAGAAATGTTCTCACCTCTCAGGGGTGCAGCTGCTGCAACCCCCAACGGTCAACAGTGCCGCATTTAAAAAAGTATATTTTATTGATTTTTTACAGAGAGGAAGAGAGAGGGAGAGAGAGTTAGAAACATCGATGAGAGAGAATCATCCATCAGCCACCTCCTGCACACCCCCCACTGGGGATGTGCCTGCAACCAAGGTATATGCCCTTGACTGGAATCGAACCTGGGACCCTTCAGTCCTCAGGCTGACGCTCTATCCACTGAGCCACACCGGTTTCAGCAACAGTGTCACATTTTTTTTGGGGGGGGGGGGAATATATATATATATATATATATATATATATATATATATATATATATATATGATAAGTAAGACAAGGACAAAAAACACCCTAAATAAAATAAGGACTGAAAGGTACCACCGCATTGCCTGACTGCTGGCTGTGTCTCAGTGGTTGAGCATCAACCTAGGTACCAAGAAGTCATGGATTCAATTCCCTGTTAGGGCAGGTACCCAGGTTGTGGGGGGTCTATCCTCAATAGGGGACATGCAAGAGGCAGCTGATTGATGATACTCCTCTCTTGTTGATGTTTCTATCTCTCTATGCCTCTTCCTTCCTCTCTCTCTCAAATAAGTTGTTTTTAAACTATATTTTATTGATTTTACACAGAGAGAAATTGAGAGGGACAGAGAGTTAGAAACGTCGATGAGAGAGAAACACCGACCAGCTGCCTCCTGCACACTCCCCACTGGGGATGTGCCCGCAACTAAGGTACATGCCCTTGACCGGAATCGAACCCGGGACCTTTCAGTCCGCAGGCCCACGCTCTATCCACTGAGCCAAACCGGTCCCGGCATCAAATAAGTTTTTAAAAGCATTTTTTTAAAAAAGTAGCATTGGATTTAGTAATTGCCACTTTCAGGGGAGGGACTGGGAAATCCATGGAGACCAAGCTGGAGGAGGGAGTTGGGGCATCTGAGCCGGGAGAAGCCTCTGCAGCGGACTGGGACAGGCAGGGGCAGGCGAAGGTGTGGGAGGTGAGGTCAGCAGGAAGTCAGGAGGCACGTCCAGCTTATCTGTTTCTCTGTAAGGTGGTGGAGGTGCAGCAATCAGTCCGAGGCATCTCCTCCCTTGGGGTCACTGTGGTTCCTTGCTGCCTGGGGCTGCAGTGCGTGGGCCTTGGGGCTGGGGCTGGACTGTTGCTCAGCTCCCTCCAGGGAGAGGAAACAGCAGGCCTCTGGCCCAAATGGGTCTAGTCCTGCCTTTGGAATCTGCTTCCTGGTGAGGACATGACATCTGCTCAGAGGTGTGGGTCTCAGAGGGCGCTGTCCAGATCAACAGCACCAGCAGTGTCTGCAGAGGCTCATCTCGGGTGGGGGTGGGGGAACGGTCCTCAGAAATTGCATTTTTAAAATTTTATTTTTATTGATTCTTTTTACAGAGAGGAAGGGAGAGGGATAGAGAGCTAGAAACATTGATGAGAGAGAATCATCAACCAGCTGCCTCCTATACACCCCCCCCCCCCACTGGGATGTGCCCCCAACCAAGGCACATGCTCTTGATCGGAATCGAACCTGGGACCCTTGAGTCCGCAGAAACCACTGAGCCACACTGGTTTCGGCAGAAATTGCATTCCTAATGAATTCTCAGATGGTGCTGCTGGTCCAGGGACCACACTTTGAGAACCTCTTGCCGAGTAACGGCCACAGCCTCATACAGCATAGAATCAACTCACTGGTCCCATCTATAATAATAAAAGCGTAATATGCTAATTGGACCTTGAGTTACGGGTGACCATTGGTACTAGCAGGCACAGCGTGCTCTGAGTATCCACAAAGCGGTGGTCACGCCGAAACTGGTGTGGCTCAGTGGATAGAGCGTCGGCTTGCGGACTGAAAGGTCCCACCCAGGTTTGATTCTGGTCAAGGGCATGTATCTTGGTTGCGGGCACATCCCCAATGGGAGGTGTCTAAGAGGCAGCTGATCAATGTTTCTCTCTCATCAATGTGTCTAACTCTATCCCTCTCTCTTCCTCTCTGTAAAAAATCAATAAAATATATATATCTATATCTATATCTATATATATCTATATATATATATTTTTTTTAATATTTATTTATTTATTTTTTAAAGCGACGGTCAGGACTTACTGTGTTAGCTACTCCCTGGGCTCAGGCTAACCGTGGAGGGGATGGTTGCGGGACTGAAACAGAGAAACGAGGCTCCAGGGCTGGCCGAGAGCAGCGCTCCTGAGGATTACACAGGGTCTCGGCAAGCTGCTTGGTGGGCCAGGGGGTACGCTGTTTCTTGGCAGGGGTGTGATCTGGGGCAGGTACCCAGCATCTCCCAGCCTCAGTGTCCCCACTTGTGGAGTGAAGTTTCTCAGCTGGGAGGCCCTATTGGCCTTAGGAACCTTGTTTAGGGTCAAAATGCCCCACCTTAAAAAGATCAAGTCCGCCGAAACCAGTTTGGCTCAGTGGATAGAGCGTCAGCCTGTGGACTGAAACGTCCCGGGTTCGATTCCGGTCAAGGGCATGTACCTTGGTTGCGGGCGCATCCCCAGTAGCGGGTGTGCAAGAGGCAGCTGATTGATGATTCTCTCTCATCAATGTTTCTAACTCTCTATCCTTTTCTCTTCCTCTCTGTAAAAAATCAATAAAATATATTAAAATTAAAAAAAAAAGATCAAGACCATTTCTCTTCTCTCCCATGCAGCTTCCCTCCCTAGAAAGTCACCATTTAATGCAAAGCTTAGCCTCCCTCTCACCATTGACCCCGGTCTCACAGAGAGAAAATGTCTCTGATTGATCCCCCCCTAATACTCCCCCTGAGGAAGTCATTCTGCAGTCGGATCCAGCGCCCGAGGCACCCTCCTTCCTCCCTCCTGGCTCCAGCCTTCCCCGCAGCCCTGCCAGCCTGCAGAGCGGTCGCCTCGCATGATAAATTGGACAAGCTGTCTAGACAGTACGTGATCCTGCCGTGCGTTTTGCTCCAAGGGTACAGCGGAGTGATGTCAGCGCCCCTCGTGCTGGGGGTGTGTCCGGCACCAGGCGGTCACAAGGAGTCACAAGGGGCAGGAAAGGGTTTATCCGGACAAGCGCCCGTGTTCCCTGTCAGGCCACATCCCCCACGGCAGCGATGTGGGTGACAGATGCCAAGTGGAGCAGGTCCAGATAAATCCCACAGCCTCCTCGGGAAGGAAAGCAAAGGAAAACCCCTCTCGTCCCATCTCGTCTCCCTGGGAGCTGCCCCGGGGCGGTCTCTGTTCCCACAGGGCCGTGCTGTCATCCGCATGCATCCTGAACTAGAGCAATTCTGATTGCTCAAGATGCTCTCTCCTTAAAAACAACAACAACCCTCCCTCCACCCCTCTCTACACCAGCCCCTCTTCCTTCCCACACAGCAAGCTTCTCCACAGAGCTTTTACCCTTGCTGTTTCTACTACTTCTCTTATAGTATATATATTATATTATATTATATTATATTATATTATATTATATTATAATTGATTTTTTTTTTTTTTTTTTTTACAGAGAGGAAGGGAGAGGGATAGAGAGTTAGAAACATCGATGAGAGAGAAACATCCATCAGCTGCCTCCTGCACACCCCCTCCTGGGGATGTGCCCGCAACCAAGGCACATGCCCTTGACGGGGAATCGAACCCTGGACCCTTCAGTCCGCAGGCCGACGCTCTATCCACTGAGCCAAACCGGTTTTGGCTCCCACTCACCATCTAGCTTCAGAATGCTCCCATGTTGTTACCAAACTCTGCCCGACTTATTATTGTAAACCTGTTTGGAACAGATCACACGTTCCAACAGAACAAAAGGGGAGAGAGTAGAAAGTGGGTCTCCCTCCCACCTTCCCCACCCTCCACCCCCAAGTCACCCAGTTCCCTCCCCACGGCAGCTGCCATCCCAGGCACTCGCAGATCCTTCTAGTGATATGGCGTGCCCACACAGGAGCACACACAATGCCACCCCCACCCTTTTCTGCACATATAACAGCACCCCGTTCTGCACCTTCCCTTTTGTATGTAACGGCTGTCTTGGAAATCATTCCAGAGAGAGCTGCCTCGTGCTTGCTTCCCTACCTTAGTGCTCCCCTGTGTGGCCGGCCGTCACGTTGTTGAGCTCACCCGCCCCTGAGACACATTTGTGTTGCTGCCTGTCCTGGTGATTGGAAATCAGCCTGCAGTGAGGCAGCCCTGGGGTGGGGCCCTGGCCAGGAGGCGGGGCAATGAAAGGAGAGAATTTTTTTTTTTATAATATATATATTCTATTGATTTTTTACAGAAAGGAAGGGAGAGGGATAGAGAGTTAGAAACATCGATGAGAGAGAGATACCGATCAGCTGCCTCTTGCACACCCCCTACCAGGGACGTGCCCGCAACCAAGGTACATGCCCTTGACCGGAATCAAACCTGGGACCCTTCAGTCCGCAGGCCGACGCTCTAGCCACTGAGCCACACCGGTTTCAGCGAGTGAGATTTTGAAGGAAGAATTGGTGAGGCTCAGAATGAGAGAAGTGATAAGCCATGCAATAGGGAACAAGGTGATAGGAGGAAACTCTGGCTGCAGGCCCATGAGGAGTCTCATTCTGGGCCAGATGAGGGGCCCCTAACTCAGGCCCAAAGCACAGGAAAGAGGTTGAGGCCAGAGTCATGGGCCAGGGAGTGAGCTCACAGCCAAGGACAGACAGTGTGCAAAGAGAGGGAAAGAGCACTAGCCGGTTTGGCGCAGTGGATAGAGCGTTGCCCTGCAGACCGAAGGGTCCTGGGTGTGATTCCGGTCAAGGGCATGTACCTCGGTTGCAGACTCTTCCCCAGCCCAGTCCCTGGTCAGGGCTCATGCAGGAGGCAACCAATCCATGTGTTTCTCTCACATCGATGTTTCTCTCTGTCTTTCTCTCTCTCTTCCATTCTCTCTGAAAATCAATGGAAAAAAAAAAATCCTCAGGTGAGGATTTAAAAAAAAAAAAGAGCCAAAAATGGTGTGGCTCACTGGATAGAGTGTCAGCCTGTTGACTAAAAGGTCCTGGGTTTGATTCCGGTCAAGGGCATGTACCTTGGTTGCGGGCACATTCCCGGTAGGGGGTGCGCAGGAGGCAGCTGGTCGGTGTTTCTCTCTCATCGATGTTTCTAAATCTCTATCCTTCTCCCTTTCTCTCTGTAAAAAAAACAATAAAATATATATTTTTTTAAAAAGAGCGAGAGAAAGACATCTTATCCCCATTTTACAAGCCTCGTCTGTGGTGAGGGAAGGAAGAGGGATGATGGCTAGGTAAATGGTCAATATTTAGAGGGGACAGACGTGCCTCTGGAGAGGCCACATATGCGGTCCCATGAACTGAATTCAGAGCTTCTTTGCTGGCCCTGTCAGGCCTTGAGTAGCAAGGCCTTGGATGGAGAGTCTGCCTGGTCTCTCTGAGGCCCCGCCTGGCCCCTGCCACCTGCCTGCCTCTCACCTGGGGCCCCCGCTCTCCCTGCAGGTCCTGCCCATCATTGTCTTCTTCAGCTGTGTTATGTCCATCCTCTACCACGTGGGCCTCATGCAGTGGCTGATCCTGAAGGTGAGTCCCAATGCCTTGGCCTGGGCCAGAGACACCTGCTCCCCCTCCGGGGGGGGGAAGGGGGGGGGCTCACACCTCCCAGAATGCCTTGCTCCCATGCCTCAAACCCTTCCCCAACCCCTTACCCTTTCTCAGATCTACTGCTCATCAATCTTTTCACAGAGTTTGTTGTCATGATACTAGGCAGAAATGGCACTACAATCCAGGGTCATCTTTGTGGGAGGGAAGTTTGCGGAATGGAGGGTGCATTGAGAAGAAATGTTAGAGGAAAAAAGAATTCATGCCAAAAAAAATCTCGCGAGACTGGAGCAGGGGGCCACACTGGCCAGATTTAGCGGGTGTACATGCCAAATCCTGTGCTTATTATCATAAAATCTGGCCACACAAAACCAGGATGCAGGAGACAGCATTGCACTGGGCAAAAGATTTTTTAAAAAATATATTGAATTGATTTTTTACAGAGAGGAAGGGAGGGGGATAGAGAGCTAGAAACATCGATGAGAGAGAAACATCAACCAGCTGCCTCCTGCACACCCTGACTGGGGATATGCCCGCAACCAAGGTACATGTCCCTGACTGGACTAGAACCTGGGACCCTTCAGTCCACAGTCCGACGCTCTATCCACTGAGCCAAACCGGTTTCAGCTTGAGCAAAAGATCTTGAGGTTTTAGCTGATTGAGCTCAGAATAAACCCAAACCATTAGGTGACTGGCAGGAATGCAGAATCCCCCTGAGGTTAAGAGTTCACAGAGTGTGGTATGAGGGAGGCGACGACGACGCCTCAATCTGGAGAATGTGTCTAACCAAGGGACTGTGACAAACTGAACCGTCAGAGGGAGAGTGCAGGGCTGAATGTAAGCTCCACAGACTGGCTGGAGGAGGAAGGGATGACGGGCCTGGGAAAGAGAAGGCCAGGGTGGAGGAGGTTACGGATAGGATAGCGGTCTCCAAACATGCAGGGAAGGGGCAGCCTAGGAGGTGCCCACATTGAGGAGAAATCCCAGGGAAACAGATTTCATCTTGATTGAGAGGAAGAACTTGCCGAAACCGGCGTGGCTCAGTGGATAGAGTGTCAGCCTGCAGACCGAGGGGTCCCAGGTTGGATTCCGGTCAAGGGCATGTACCGTGGTGGCGGGTACATCCCCAGTGAGGGGTGTGCAGGAGGCAGCTGATCGATGTTTCTCTCTCATCGATGTTTCTAACTCTCTATCCCTCTCCCTTCCTCTCTGTAAAAAATCAATAAAATATATATATATTTTTTTAAAAAAGAACTTTCTAATATAGCGTAACCAAAGCCTTTTTCATGAAACTCTGCTTCCATAGCAGCTTAATAAATGCCACTTGGTAAAGGGAATCCCACAGTCAAGTGATTTTTTTGATGCTAACAAATTTAAACAAGTCTTGTGCAGGACTTCTCAGAGCAATATGTATTAGTTATCTCCAAGGTGTGTGTGTGTGTGTATAGTAATTCTCAAATACATTTGACCAAGGAATCCTTTTCTCATGGATGGTAAGTCCCCGTCAATGCCAGTCAGAGGGAAAGATGAATGGACCTTCTGGAGGAAATGTGGGTGAAAGGGCTCCTGCGTGGGTTGGGAGTTGGAAGGAAGCCTTGTGAGGTGACTCCTGACTCTCTCTGCCTCTGGGCCTCGCTCACGCCAGCCCTGCTTGCTTCTAGATCGCCTGGCTGATGCAGGTCACCATGGGCACCACGGCCACGGAGACCCTGAGTGTGGCCGGAAACATCTTTGTGAGCCAGGTGGGTCCTGCAGCCTCCTGCCCTCCTGCCCGTCAGCAGCCTCCCCCCGGAGACCAGCTGCCCTGGGTCCCTGATTTGGTCATCAGAAGAGCCATTGGACCTTTTCCCAGGTCACCCAAGGCGGCTGCCCCAGGGATGCACATCTGGGTAATGCTAGGGAGGATGGGATCTGGTACCTCCTTACTGCTCTGGGCCTAGGCTGCCCTCATCCGCGTGGAGTAAGGTGACCAACGTCCCGCTTTTGGCGGGACAGTCTCGATTTTTAACAATTTGTCCCGCGTCCTGCGGCATTTTTAAAAAAGTTTTTAAAAAGGACACGAGACAAATTGTTAAAAATCGGGACTGTCCCGCCAAAAGCAGGACGTCTGGTCACCTTAGCGTAGAGACTCACAAATCCTAGAGATGGAGTCGAACTTTCTCCTTCTGTACACGAGGACACCAGGGCTCAAGGGTAGGAATGACTGGCTAAGATACAATGAGATAAGCCAGGACTTAGAATCCCTTTTTTTTTTTTTTTTTTTTTTTTAGTTCCTGACTAGGGTTCTTTCTACTATACCATTTTGTCTTTCTTTTCCCCTTCCTCCTCCTTTTTTTTTTTTTTTTTTTTTTTAATATATTTTATTGATTTTTTTACAGAGAGGAAGAGAGAGGGATACAGAGTTAGAAACATCGATGAGAGAGAATCATCGATCAGCTGCCTCTTGCACACCCCCTACCGGGGATGTGCCCGCAACCCATGTACATGCCCTTGACCGGAATCGAACCCGGGACCTTTCAGTCCCCAAGCCGACGCTCTATCCATTGAGCCAAACCGGTCTCAGCATCCCCTTCCTCCTTCTAAACATAGTAAGTGTGACTCTGAAGGCACTGCTAGTCCTGTGTCCCTTTCGGAAGGCCTGACCCTCCCCGAGTGTGAGTCTGTCTGGACCATTCCAGGATCCAGGCCCACCTGTCACCAGAAGACATACTTACCTTTCTTTCTGGCAACCCCCAGTCTTCATTAAAAGCTCAGGCCTGGCTGGCATGGCTCAGTGGTTTAAGCATCAACCGATGAACCAGGAGGTTACACTTCAATTCCCAGTCAGGGCACATGCCCAGGTTATGGGCTCAGTCCCCAGTGTGGGATGTGCAAGAGGCAGTCAATCAATGATTCTCTCTCATCATTGATGTCTCTCTCTCTCTCTCTCTCTCTCTCTCTTTCTCTCTCTCTCTCTCTTTCTTCTCCTCCTCCTCCTCCTCCTCCTCCTCCTCCTCCTCCTCTCTCATTCTCCCTCTCTTTCTCCTTCTCCCTCTCCCTCTCCCTTTCTCTCTGAAATCAATAAAAATATATTTTTAAAAAAACAAAAAATTTAGGCCCAAGTTACAATCTGCTCCTGGCCCGTTGCATGAAAAGAGGTCATTCTTTGAACCTCTCTTATCCTCTATTTGCTCTCATGAAAAATGGGCATGATGTCTTCTTTTTCAGAAGGTTGTGTGAGGTGCTTGGCCATGGTAGTTGCTTGACACAGGAGCATTACCAGGCCAAGTGGCAGGGCCCAGGTCCTTGCACAGAGCCAGGCTGGCGCTGATGTTCTGAGCAGTTCAGTCAAGTACAGACCACAGTCTTCACCCCACCTGCTGTCTCTCCCCCTGGGACCCCAGCACTCCCTGGGAGCTGCCCACTCTGGTGGGGAGGAAACTCCCCGGGTACCTGTGCTGGCCCAGCCGATTCTGTGTGTCTGACATCTTTTCTGCTTGCAGACTGAGGCTCCACTGCTGATCCGGCCCTACTTGGAGGACATGACACTCTCCGAAGTCCACGTTGTCATGACCGGAGGGTATGCCACCATTGCCGGCTCCCTGCTGGGTGCCTACATCTCCTTTGGGGTATGAACACACTCCTGATGGGAGTGCAATTTGCTGTAAACCTTCCAGAGAACATCTATCATTTAGTTGTGTGGGTTTTTTTTTTTTTTAATATATATATTTTATTGATTTTTTTTACAGAGAGGAAGGGAGAGAGACAGAGAGTTAGAAACATCGATGAGAGAGAAACATCGATCACTACAGGGGATGTGCCCGCAACCAAGGTACACGCCCTTGACCGGAATCGAACCTGGGACCTTTCAGTCCACAGGCCGACGCTCTATCCGCTGAGCCACACTGGTTAGGGCTATCATTTAGTTTTAAGAGACTTTCCTTTGATAGGCTTCGCAGTATTGGGATACAAAAATATTTTCACAAGTGTTCAGATAGGCAAAATCCCATTATTATTTGCAATAGAAGAACAAGACAAAACAAGAAACGACCTAAATGTCAAGCAGTGAGGTGATGAGTTGGGTAAATTTGTCCATACGATGCCGTGCTACTAAGCCCCTAGAGCAGTGGTTCTCAACCTTTCTAATGCCGAGATGGGGTTGAGAACCACTAGCAGGGTCACCTAAGACCATCTGAAAACATAAATATTTACATTACGATTCATAACAGTAGCAAAATTACAGTTGTGAAGTAGCAACAAAAATAATTTTATGGCCGAAACCAGTTTGGCTCAGTGGATAGAGCGTCAGCCTGCAGACTGAAAGTTCCCAGGTTCGATTCCGGTCAAGGGCATGTACCTTGGTTGTGGGCACATCCCCAATGGGGGTGTGCAGGAGGCAGCTGGTCAATGTTTCTCTCTCATCAATGTTTCTAACTCTCTATCCCTCTCCCTTCCTCTCTATAAAAAAAAAAAATCAATAAAATACATTTTAAAAAATAATAATAATTTTATGGCTGGGGGTCACCACAACATGAAGAACTGTATTAAAGGGTTGTGGCATCAGGAAGGTTGAGAACCACTGCCCTAGAGTGAGTGAGTCGTGGTCTGCCTTTCACTGTTCCTGATGCTGTGTGTGTACGGGCCGGGGGATGACAGAATGACCCCAATGTCCTCTTCTGGCTCCCAAGTTCCCCCTCTCATCTCTGGCCTTGGAGCTGGCCGAGGGGTTAGGCTTGAGGACAAGCCAGGCGGCCCCTCAGCACTTCCTCCCTCAGGGCATGAGGCTGCTCTCTTCAGCTCGGCTTCCTGTCCCACAGAGCTGCCTGGGCAGAGAGGGCAGCTCTGGGAGTTCAAGAAGTCCTCTTGTCTCTGTCTTCCAGCCTGGCACCCTCCCATCTATTGTAGAATCTTCGAGGTCACCTGCTTCTCACAGAGGCTTAGGAAAGGCCCACTCCACCTCCAATTAATGTAGGAAGGTGTTTGATATTTAAAAACTGGAAACTCAAAACTGTTCGCGCAGCTTTTTAAAAAAATATATATATTTTATTGATTTTTTTAATACAGAGGAAGAGAGAGGGATAGAAAGCTAGGAACATTGATGAGAGAGAGAGTCATCGATCAGCTGCCTCCTGCACACCCTCTACTGGGGATGTGCCCGCAACCAAGGTACATGCCCTTGACTGGAATCGAACCCGGGACCCTTCAGTCCGCAGGCCGACGCTCTATCCACTGAGCCAAACCTGTTTCGGCTCCTGCAGCTTTTTTTCAAGGTGGTGTATGAGGGGAGAGAATGCCATATTATTTCCAGGACTTGGGGCTTTTGACTGTCTTACTTTCTGCTGACTGAATTGGCTGCTGTGGCTTCAGACTAAAATCCTGGAAGAACTCTCTCCCTTTTCCACAACCTGCTCTCCATCCCCTTCTCAGGCAGAAGTCCAGGGCAGCCCCAGGCAGTAGGGGCCTGGGTGCCCACTTCCCTGTAGCTCTACAGAACTTGCAGAGGCTGCCAGCACCAGCCAATGAATAACCAGGGTCTTCATTCACAGCCTCTAGCTGGCAGCCCCCTGGCTACCGCCCAGCTGGCCCGGGTAAAAAGCTCATACTAGAGAAGTGTGGTTTCAGAGAAGCTCTCTTCTGCCCCCACCTGGCTCTTGGCTGCTACTGCAGCAGCCTCCGTCCTCCCACAGCCCTTCTTCCCACCGGAAACCCTCTCCTTTCACTCCCTCCTCAAGGCACTTCCTCACGGTATCCTTGCTCTGCCCTCAGCCCCTGACTTACAGGAGGATCCATCCCTCTTATTCCCTCCTCCTTTCTCAGTGTTGCTCAGCTCCTGGCTCCCTTTGCCCTGCACCCTCTCCTATTGCTAATAGCTGGTTATTTCTAGACCCTCGTTGTCCAACCCAGTAGCCAGGAAGCCACAGGTGGCTGTCTGTGGAGCACTTGAAGAGGGGCTGGTCTGAAATGAGATCCGCTACGAGACCTAGAATGGAAAAAGTCCATATGTCTTATTAATAAGTTTAATATTGATGACATGGGTGGAAAGATAATACTTGGGATAGATTTGGTCAAATAAGATGTGTTATTAAAATTCATTTTACCTTTTCTTTTTAAATATTTTAAAAATAGCCGAAACCGGTTTGGCTCAGTGGATAGAGGGTCAGCCTGCGGACTGAAAGGTCCCAGGTTCGATTCGGGTCAAGGGCATGTACCTTGGTTGCGGGTGCATCCCCGGTGGGGGGTGTGCAGGAGGTAGCTGATCGACGATTCTCTCTCATCAATGTTTCTGGTTCTCTATCTCTCTCTCTTCCTCTCTGTAAAAAAATCAATATTATATATATATTTTTTTAAAGAATACAGTTGACTTACTATAACATTTAAAAAGAAGTCTATTTTACTCTTCTGTTTATAAAAGCAATATATGTCCTTGTGATCATTTCAAAATACACAAAAAAGCCGAATCCGGTTTGGCTCAGTGGATAGAGCATTGGCCTTCGGACTGAAAGGTCCCAGGTTCAATTTCGGTCAAGGGCATGTACATTGGTTGCGGCATATCCCCGGTAGGGGGTGTGCAGGAGGCAGCTGGTCAATGTTCCTCTCTCATCGACGTTTCTAGCTCTCTCTCTCTCTCTCTTCCTCTCTGTAAAAAATCAATAAACATATATTAAAAAAAGAAAAAAGAAAATCACTCCTGACTTTCCAGGGACAGAGGAAAACTGGTTGACATTGTGGTATATTTCGTGTTATGCTTAGCTTCGGAGTTTACTTTCCCAATCATTGTGGTTATGCTCTCCATGCCATTTTGTGGTCATTTCCCCTGTGATTGTGAAGCTCCGGTGACCATTGTTTTCCATGGCAGCTTGACAAGGCCTGGCCACTCCCCGCTGTTATGTGTTTGGCTTGGCTCTAATTTCCCCGTTTGGTAAACAACGCAGTGGAAGAGACTAGGGAAGCAGAGGGATTGGGGCCCACCGTGAGGAGAGAAATCCAGGAAGGGCCATTCCTGGGGCTCAGGTGGCTCCGCCATCTTGCTGGGAAGGGTCTCTAAGCATGGCTCCCAGAGACATCAGGACCCAGGGCCTAAGAGTGGCTGTTGTGGGAGGCTGAAAAGAGCTCTCCAACCCAGGAGTGGGTGTGACGGGCTGCCTTGAAGAGGTGAGTATTCAAGAAGTGCTCTTGCCTCGGCCAGTTTGGCTCAGTGGATAGAGCATTGGCCTGCAGACTGAAGGGTCCCAGGTTTGATTCCGGTCAAAGGTACATGCCCAGGTTGTGGGCTCAATCCCCAGTAGGGGACATGCAGGAGGCAGCCAATCAATGATTCTTTCTCGTTGATGTTTTCTACATATCTTTCTCTCCTCTCCCTTTCTCTCTGAAGTCAATAAAAATATATTAAGAAGTGACTTTTTAAAAATATTTTATTGATTTTTCCATAGAAAGGAATAGAGAGGGACAGAGAGTTAGAAACATCGATGAGAGAGAAACATCGATCAGCTGCTTCCTGCACACCCCCACCCTGGGAATGTGCCCGCAACCAAGGTACATGCCTTTGACCAGGAATCAAACCTGGGGCCCTTCAGTCCTCAGGCTGACACTCTATGGTTTCGCTTAAGAAGTGATCTTGTGTAGGAAGGACATTCCTACAGTCCGAGGTTGAATTAGGTTACCTCTTGCACCCATTCCAACTTTCAAATTCTGTGAACTTTGTCTGAAACCATCACAAATCCCTTCACCAGTGGCCAACGAGCCCTTGTCTTAATGGTCAAAGGGAGACAGCCCAGAAGAGAAGGGTGAACTTTGAACTTTGAGCCAAAAGACATGGCAGGTTCCAATTGTTATTCTTCCTCTATATTGGGCACATCAGACTTAATCCTTTGGGGACTCAGTTTCCTTCTCCTTAAAATGAGGTAATACTACAGTTTTCCCTTGAACAGCATGAGTCTGAACTGTCTGGACCCACTTTTACAGGGATATTATTCCATAAGTACTCTATTTTCCCTTTTTTTATGATTTTCTTTTCTCTATTGTAAGGATGCAGCATACAAAATATGTATTGATTGACTGGTATTGGTAAGGCTTCTTTCTGGTCAACAGCAAGTTATTAGTAGTTTACTTTTGGAGGAGCCAAAAGTTATATGCAGATTTAAAAATATATATTTTTTTTATTGATTTTTTACATAGAGGAAGAGAGAGGGATAGAGAGTTAGAAACATCTATGAGAGAGAATCATCAATCAGCTGCCTCTTGCACACCCCCTACTGGGGATGTGCCCGCAACCAAGGTACATGCCCTTGACCGGATCGAACCTGGGACCCTTCAGTCTGCAGGCCAACGCTCTATCCACTGAACCACACCAGTTTTGGCTATATGCAGATTTTTGACCATGCTGGTGTTCAGTGTCTCTAACCCCTGCTTTCTCAAGAGCCATCTGTACTCATCGCCTGACTTACAGATGTACTGAGAAAAATATGAGCTCTGTTCTACAGCCTGGGACCCGCTGCACATAAAAGGAATTATAATTGACAACGGTGGCAGCAGTTCTGACAGTAACGGCATCCCAGTGGGGCAGAGTACAGTGGCCCCCGCTGCCCTGGGCTGTGCTGCTCGGCCCCCACGTCCTCCTGTAACCCCATCTCACTCTCGCAGATCGACGCCGCCTCTTTGATTGCCGCCTCTGTGATGGCCGCCCCTTGCGCGCTGGCCCTCTCCAAGCTGGTCTACCCGGAGGTGGAGGAGTCCAAGTTCAGGAGCGAGGAGGGAGTAAAGCTGAGCTCCGGGTAAGCACAGCAGGACTCATGCGGGTGGGGAGGTGGGCACAGCAGTGGGTCCCATGTTCCCTGCCCTTCCACCAAGCTCAGGCTCACCTCTTGCCTTAAACTGCCCTCTTTGTGGCTTCGCTTAGAAAAACAAAAACTCCAGTTCCTGCATCTTTTTAAATATATATATATATATTTTTTTTTTACAGAGAGGAAAGGAGAGGGATAGAGAGTGAGAAACATTGATGACAGGCAAACATCAATCAGCTGCCTCCTGCACACCCCCCACTGGGGATGTGCCCGCAACCAAGGTACATGCCCTTGACCGGAATCAAACCTGGGACCCTTGTGTCTGCAGGCCGACACTCTATCCACTGAGCCAAACAGGTTAGGACCAGTTCTTGCATATTAATGTCCATCTTGGACCAGCAGGAAACAATGGGCTGGTCAAGGCCTGGAAGAGTGGGCTGGGTCTTGTGTGGTGAGGAGGATCTTGCCACCTTCTCCACAAACCTCGACTCCGACCACCAGTTTGTCAGTCATATATTCACTTATCGAACGCTGTCCCAGATCTCACTCACCTCCTAACATCTCTTCATCGTGGCCTTAACAGCCCCCGAGTAACATCTACCCTTTAAAAATGTTAAAAAGGGTCCTAGCCAGTGTGGCTCAGTGGCTAGAACGTCGGCCTGCAGACGGAAGGGTCCCAGGTTCGATTCCGGTCAAGGGCACATGACCGGGTTGTGGTTTCGATCCCCAGTAGGGGGCCTGCAGGAAGCAGCCGATCAATGATTCTTACCATTAATGTTTCTATCTCTTCCTTTCTGAAATCAATAAAAATATATTTATAAATAAATAAATAAATAAATAAATAAATAAAATAGCCCTAGCTGGTTTTGCTCAGTGGTAGGGGTGTCGAACTCAATCAGAGAAGGGGCCAAAATCTAAAATCCAGCCTAAATCGCAGGCCGAATGGTTTACTGAACAGTCCTAAACTGTCATTGTGATGGAAACGCAGCGGAGTGCAGTGATGACAGCGCGGTGCGGGCCACATTGCAAGGCCTGGCGGGACGGATTTGGCCCACGGGCCTTGTGTTTGACACATGTGGGATAGAGCATCAGCCTGCAAACTATAGTCTTCCGGGTTCGATTCCAGTCAAGGGCACATGCTGGATTGCGGGCTCAATCGCCAGGAGGGGGCATGTAGGAGGCAGCCAATCAATGATTCTCATCGTTCATGTTTATAGCTCTCTCTCCTTCTCCCTTTTTCTCTGAAATCAATAAAAATATATTTTAAAAAGATATAAAAATCTTGAAAAGATATCACTTTTGACAAATGTGCTTGGGGCTACAGTACCCAGCCCCAACCTCACAACCCCTGAAGGTTGAGAGCAGCGAAATATGATTTAAAATTTTCTAGTTGCTGTGTTTAAAAAAGTTTTTAAAAAGCAGGAAATTTTAATAAAATACTTTAACCCAAAATATCCAAAATATTATCTTCTCAACATTTTAAAAAAATGCATTTTATGATTTTTTTTTACAGAGAGGAAAGGAGAGGGATAGAGAGTTAAAAACATCGACCAGCTGCCTCCTGCACACCCCCCACTGGGGATGTGCCTGCAACCAAGGTACATGCCCTTGACCGGAATCAAACCTGGGACCCTTGAGTCCGCAGGCCTACGCTCTATCCACTGAGCCACACCGGTCAGGCCTCAACATTTTTATAAATGTTTTTATATTGATTTTTTTTGGTACCTACTAAATCTCTTAAAAACCTAGTGTGTCATTTCTACTTACGACATACCTCAGTTCTGAGCAGTCTCCTTTCAAGTGCTCCGAAGCCACATGTGGCTCGTGGCTCCTGTCGTGGACAGCTCTGCCCTGGGAGTCTGGGTCTCGTCCCAGGAGTGGGACCAGCCCTTACCTCCCTGGGTGTCAGGGGAAAACAAGGAAGGACCTTGAGCTCTGAACGACATTGTCCAGGGTTCTCCTCTGACCCCTTAGGATGAGAGACCCTGTGTCTGTGGGGCCAGGGCAGTAAGATGGCTCTTGATCCCCCCACAACAGAGACGCTCAGAACATCTTAGAAGCCGCCAGCAACGGGGCCGCCATCTCCGTGAGGGTCGTCGCCAACATCGCGGCCAACCTGATCGCCTTCCTGGCCGTGCTGGCCTTCATCAACGCCGCCTTCTCCTGGCTGGGCGACATGGTGGACATCCAGGGGCTCAGCTTCCAGGTGGAGGGGCCAGTCCCGGGCGGTGGGTGGCGGTGGGCAGCCAGCAGAGCCCAGGCCTGCCCGGGTCCCAGCAGCTATTGTAGCTCTGCTTGCCCTCCCTGTGTCTCACTCAGCTGCTCTGCTCCTACATCCTGCGGCCCGTGGCGTTCTTGATGGGCGTTGCCTGGGAGGACTGCCCGGTGGTGGCCGAGCTGCTGGGGATCAAGCTGTTCCTGAACGAGTTTGTGGCCTACCAGGAGCTCTCCCAGTACAAGCAGCGCCGCCTGGCCGGGGTGGAGGAGTGGGTCGGCGCCAAGAAGCAGTGGATCTCCGTGAGTGTCCGAACCGTGACCTCCTGGTTCATAGGTTGATACTCAACCACTGAGCCACACCGACTGGGCTAAGCTTCATTTAAAAATACATTGTTTTTTTTAATTATTGATTTCTGAGGGAAAGGGAAAGGGAGAAAGAGATAGAAACATCAATGATGAGAGCCGAAACCGGTTTGGCTCAGTGGATAGAGCATCGGCTTCCAGACTGAAAGGTCCCGGGTTCCGTTCCAATCAAGGGCATGTACCTTGGTTTCGGGCACATCCCCAGTAGGGGGTGTGCAAGAGGCAGCTGATCGATGCTTCTCTCTCATCAATGTTTCTAGCTTTCTGTCCCTCTCTTCCTCTCTGTAAAAACTCAATAAAATTTTTTATTTTTATTTTTATTTATTTTTTTTTTTTTAAAGAAAGAAACATCAATGATGAGAGAGAATCATTGCTCGGCTGCCTGCCTGCAACCCGGGCATGTGCCCTTGACCGGAACTGAGCCAGGGACTCTTCCGTTCACAGGTTGATGCTCTGTCCACCAGCCAGGGCTAAGCTTCATTTTTTTTTTTTTTATATCTCTATCCTCACCCATCGCATATATCAAACATGATATGAATGTATGTATCATGAGTTCAGGTCAATTCCGTTATTTGGCGGCGATGCACGGTGCAGAAGGAGAGAGGTTTGTTTACAGAACCTCTCCCTGCTCTCGGGTCATTTCCTCAGGAGCATTCCCAGATGCGGGCTGACTCAGCCACAGGGCGGGCCCTCCTGTGGTCGCCGCCAGCCATGTTCCCAAAGGGCCATCGCAGCTGCAGTCACCCCCAGCTGGGCCCGTGAGCAGTGACCTCACCCCACACCGAACGGCACTGAGGAGCCTCTTCAAAAAAAAAAGAAGCTCCGCTAGGAGCGAGTTAAATTGGGCAAATAATAGCGCATTGTGTTCATTTATGTTTCTTGGGTAACGAGGAACTTTTAACATGAAATAGTCTTCTTGTCTTTTAATTGTAAAGGAATGTACTCTTTTAAAAAATATATATATATTTTATTGATTTCTTACAGAGAGGAAGGGAGAGGGATAGAGAGCCAGAAACGTCAATGAGAGAGAAACATCGACCAGCTGCCTCCTGCACACCCCCTACTTTGGATGTGCCCGCAACCAATGTACATGCCCTTGGCCGGAATCGAACCCGGGACCTTTCAGTCTGCAGGTCGACGCTCTGTCCACTGAGCCGCAACGGTTTTGGCAAGGAATGTACTCTTTAAAAAAAAAAAGTTTATATGGAGTAAAAAAAAACAGATCCTCCTCTCCCTCCTCATCCTCAGCTCTTCTCTCAGTCTCTTCTCTAGAGATAGTGGATGGTACAGGACCATTTTTAAAAATCCTTACTCGAGCCGAAACCGGTGTGGCTCAGTGGATAGAGCGGCCTGTGGACCGAAAGGTCCCAGGTTCGATTCCAGTCAAGGGCATGTGCCTTAGTTGCGGGCACATCCCTGGTAGGGAGTGTGCAAGAGGCAGCTGATCGATGATTCTCTCTCATTGATGTTTCTAATTCTCTGTCCCTCTCTCTTCCTCTCTGTAGGAAATCAATAAAATATATTTAAAAAACAAACAAACAAACACTCACACAGAGCAAGTGGGTGATGTGAAGGCCAGGGAGCCGGGTGGTGTAGGGTGCTCCCGTCCCGTCCGAGGGACCCCCCTCCTCACTCATCCTCTGTAATTCCAGGTCCGAGCAGAAATCCTCACGACATATGCCCTCTGTGGATTCGCCAACCTCAGCTCCATTGGCATCATGCTGGGAGGCCTGAGTGAGTCTTGCGGGTGGGGTGGGGGGTGGGGGAAAACACATCCTGGGCACCCTGGACTGTCGGGCACCTGGGCTCTAGTCCTGGCTATGAAACAACTTTCTGGGGACCTGTAGGCCTCAGCTCCCTGATAGATTAAATAGAAAAGGTAGCCTGAGACTGGGATGGCAGGACACACACAGGCTTTATTGGAGGGAAGAGTACCCCTGCTGGCTGCTTCCACAGAGAGGGGCGGAGGAGAGCGAGCTCTGAGGGTACAAGCACCTTTAAGGATAGGGGGTGGGGCTTAGGGCACTCAGCACACACACTGATTGATGATTAGGGACCTAGGGACTTAGGAATCAGGGGCTTAGGGTATTTGGCAGGTGCTGATTGGTGGATCAGAGCTCAGGAATATCTGGCTGCAGGTGGGGTTTATGTCTGTCCATCAACTGGGGGAAGGGAGGATCTATCACTCCCCACTTTGCAGGCGTCTTCAAACTACGGCCCGCGGGCCACATGCGGCCCGCAGAGGAGTCTGATCCGGCCCGCCAGGTTTTTTGGGCAGTGAGCGCAGCCGAGGTGTTACAGTAGGAATTAGTAGTTCATATAGTCCGGCCCTCCAGCTCTCTGAGGGACCAGGATCTGGCCCCCACTTTAAAAAGTTTGAGGACCCCTTGTCTAAGGCGAGGCCTGAGCGAGATGGCCATGGAGGTTCCTCCCAGCCCGGGAACTCATGATTTCTTGGCTTCCGGAAGCGGCCCAGGCCGAGCCTGGCTCTGGGGTCTGTGCTGGTCTCTTCCGAGACCCTGGCCTGACATTTCCAGCTCCCAGTGGACCAGCAGGCCTGGGGCCCAGCTCTCAGCTCTCTGCAGAAACCACTTCCGCCCTTCGCAGTCCCCCTGCATGGGCTTGCAACCTCCCCGTTTCACAGAGGAGGACACCGATTCATGGAGAAGTGGAGTGATGGCCTAAGTCACACAGCTAGCCAATGGCTAGGCCCGTATTGAATCCCAGGTCTGCCTGACTCCAGTCTCAGGTTCTTTTTTAAAAATATATATATTTTATTGATTTTTTTACAAAGAGGAAGACAGAAAAATAGAGAGTTAGAAACATCGATGAGAGAGAATCATTGATCAGCTGCCTCTTGCACACCCCATACTGGGGATGTGCCTGCAACCAAGGTATTATACACGCCCTTGACAGGAATCGAACCTGGGACCTTTCAGTCCGCAGGCTAATGCTCTACCCACTGAGCCAAACAGGTTTGGGCCAGACTCAGGTCCTTTTCCTGCATCTGCCTCTGGGGATGTGTGCGGAGAGGCGTGGGGTGCTACCTAGTGGCCCACGTCAGGCCAAGGACTCCCCAACGCAGCCAGCATCAGGGGGACAGTGTCCACCCCCTGGCCACCTAGAAGAGGAAGGAGAGTCAACAGCCGCAGCCCGCGGTGCAGAGCACGCACAGAGGGGCCCCCGGCGTCCTGGCCCTGAGCATCCCTGTCCCCTCGCAGCCTCCATGGCCCCCCAACGGAAGAGCGACTTCTCCCAGATCGTGCTGCGGGCGCTGTGCACAGGGGCCTGCGTGTCCCTGGTGAACGCCTGTGTGGCAGGTGAGTCCCGATTTCCCCCTGGGCCGGGCCCTGGGGCTCTGGACTCTTTGGGAGGCCCTGGGGGTGGGGAATGAGGGGATGGGCCCTGCTCACCATCTGCTTTCCCTGCACAGGGATCCTCTACGTGCCCTGGGGAGCCGAGGTCAACTGTGCGAGCCTCCTGAACGCGACCCTCAGCAGCAGCAGCTTCGAGGTGTACCAGTGCTGCCGCGAGGCCTTCCAGAGGTGAGGGCCAGGGGCTGCGTGGGCACTCGGGCACGGGCTAGAGAGGTCATGGCCGTGGTTGATGACGTGGCCAGGGGTGGAGGAAGCGGGGCTTGAGGACCAAACTTGGGGAGGAAAGGTGGACCAGAGACGTGGAGCCACTTTCCCAGGGTTGCACAGCCTCCAGGGGGCCAGCAGAGCCAGTCCTGGAGGTCGGACCGCAGCCCTTGCTTTCTTTCAGCGCCAGCCTGGAGTTCGGCCCCGAGGCCCTGATCAACTGCTGTCGGTTTTACAACCACACGATCTGCGCATAGTGGGGCAGCATGCCTCAATCTGTGCATAGTGGGGCAGCATGCCTCTGTGCCTTTCGGGAGCGTGTGGGGGGGCGGGGGCTGTTCTTTCCCAGAAGGCAACTGACCCCACCTTCCCCTCTCCAGGCCCGTCCTCAAGGAAGCCCACGGGGAGGGAGTGGTGGCGTGAGTGGGCAGAGGCTGAGAGGGTGTGTACGGAATTCCCAGGATCCCATCAGCCTCCTCAGTCCTCCCCTCCACACCCAGCAGCACCCTGGTCTTTGTAGTCCCCTGCCCACCGTGGGCCTCTCCCATGCACCCTTTCCTTCTCTATGGCCCCTCGGCCCTGGCATCTGTGCCCCCTCCTTCCCTCTTCTCTGACACGTGGGGCTTCCTGTGGCCTACCCCTGCCCACTGTTTCTCCCGGAGGCCCCTTCCCCTACTTCCAGAGAATGCCCATTGCCTTCCTGCATTGCGCTTCCCAAACTGGGGTCCCGTGGAACACTCCCACGTGGTGTCCAGAGCTTCCATGGTCCGCTACATTTGGGAACCACTAGGCTGAATAAAGTTAGACAGGTTTGGTGTGGGGTTTTTATTTCCCCTTTCTTTCTTTAAAAAGAACCCACTTTTATTTATTGCTATTATTATTATTATTATTATTATTATTATTATTTTAATCCTCACCCGAGGATATTTTTTTTCTATTGATTTCTAGAGAGTGTGGAAGGAAGAGAGGAGGTGGGGGTAGAGAGAGAGAGAAAGAGAGAAACATTGATGTGAGAGAGAGATACATCGATTGGTTGCCTCCTGTATGAGTCCCTACTGGGACTGGGGAACCTGCAACTGAGGAACAGATACATGCCCTTAACTGTGAATCGAACCCGGAACCCTTTGATTCATGGGGAGCCGATGCTGTAACCACTGAGGAAACTGATCAGGGCCTTTTTTTTTTTTTTTAAAACTCCAGACATGTCAGCTTGTTGTGGACATGATAGAAGACATTTTCCAAATTGATTTAACTGTAAGAATCTTTTTGGTGGAAAAAACACTTCTTAGTGGAGGATTCCGTGGAACACAATTTGGGAAATATTGATTAATGTGCACTTTACCTAAATGTACTACTCTCAAATGTTTACATAGTACCATGTGCCAGGTCCTGCTCTCAGCGCTTCATACATTCTAAGACAATCCTTAAAACAACCCTGGGAAGGCAGGGACTATTAGTACCCCCGGGGGAGGCCCAGAGAGGTTAAGTAACTTGCCCCAAGTGGCACAGGGGGGAGAGGAAGAGGCAGGATTTGAACCCAGGCCACCCCATTCCATAGGCTGTGACGTTTAATGCCTTCGCTGGGCTGCTAGGAATCAAGGAACTCTATTGTATACTTGCCCTCACCTTCTTTTTTAAAAATATTTTTTTATTGATTTCAGAGAGGAAGCAAGAGGGAGAGAGAGGTAGAAACATCAATGATGAGAATCACTTGAGTAGCTGCTTCCTGCAAGCCCCCTACAAGGGATTGAGCCCACAACCTAGGCATGTACCCCTGGATGGAATTGAAAACCCGGGACCCTTCAGTCCACAGGCCAATACCCTATTCACTGAGCCACACCAGCTAGGGCTGCCCTCACCTTTTTTACCCCTCAGACCAGGCCTCTGATGTGTTTTCCCTGCCCTGAGCTTTTATCTCCGGAGTCCCGTCATGCATCAGTCCGTTCCTTCTCCCTTTTGTCTCTGCTGCTCCATCTCAATTCTCAGTTCCCCAGTAGCTGTGGCCGTAGTGACCTGTCCCAGTGGTCACTGAGCCCTGTTTCCCTTCCCCACCTCTCTGTCAGAGTGAGCTCCCCAGTTGTGGCCAGTGCTGGCCTGGGGCAGAGGGAATTTGGAGCCTGGTCAGCTTGGTCCCAGTCAGCCAGGTGCTGCTTCTGCTCCCTCCGTGTCAGTGTTTTCTGGACATCACTGGCTCTGTCCCTTGTGAGCCCCCAGGCTAGCTTGGGGTCCCTGACCCCAAGGAACTTAGGGTCTCAGTGCTTCCCCTTGGCTCTGTATAGTGGGATCCTGGCCTGCTTCTCCTAGCCCATGGCCAGATCCTTGCCTTGCTCTCTGCAGCCCCCCGCTTTGTCCCTATCCTCCCCCAACCCCCCTCAGGCCGTCACAGCACACCCTGCTGATGTGGATTGCACAGCTGTCTCCCTGCATCGGACCCCGGTCCCTTTCCTGCATGGCTGTGGGGTCATGAGCTGCCTAAGGGAGTGACCCCTGTGCCCCTTCCCTGGACTCCCTGCTCTCTCAGTACATGGCTGGTGTCATTCCCAGAAGACTGTAAACCCCGGGAAGACAGGGCTCAGTACTCAGCACCCAGTACCCCTCACAGTACCCAGCCCAGGGCTGGGCCCAAGGAAATGTGCTGGGTAAATGCTCGTGGAATCGAACCGCACCTTCTCCCAGAGCCATCAGCGCATGCACCATCGTAGGAGACAGAGTGTAATGTGGTGTCGTTACAGGGGGTCGAGTTGTGTCCCCCCCAAAAAATATGTCCAAGCCCTAACCTCGGAACCTGTGAATGTGAACTCATTGGGCCGTTAAGCTAAGTATCGCAGGATGAGATTATCCCGAATGTAGAGTGAGCCCTAAGTCCAACCATTTAGAAGAGAAGGGAGAGGGCGATGTGAGACAGGCACCCAGACGTGCAATGAATGAAGGCCATGGAGAGACGGAAGTGCAGGCCGGAGTCATCAGCTCTAAGGCATAGCTGCCCCTGGGCCGCCAGAGGCCGCCCGAAGCTGGAGGAGATGTGGAAGGATCCAGATGGAGACGGCCTGCAGGTTTTGGACTTCCGGCCTCCAGAACTGTGAGAGAATAAATCTTGATTGTTTTAAGCCACCACGTTTGTGGTCATTTGTTCTGGGAAACTTACATGGGTACTTTGAATGGGATCCTTGACATGTCCTTGACCGGAATCGAACCTGGGACCCTTCAGTCCGCAGGCTAATGATCTATCCACTGAGCCACACCGGTTTCGGTGAGAAGGTCACTCTTACTTTGTAACCAGAAGGACACTGGCTGGGAGAACCACTCTGTCAAACTCCTTATCCCGCTTGGGGTCAGGTGGTTGTGGTCATTCACAATACCATCAAAACAAGACTCTCGCCCTGGCTGGTTTGGCTCAGTGAATGGAGCATTGGCCTGCAGACTGAAGGGTCCCAGGTTCGATTCCGGTCAAGGGCATGTACCTTGGTTGTGAGTACATCCCCGGTAGGGGGTGTGCAGAGGCAGCTGTTCAATGTTTCTCTCCCAGCAATGTTTCTAACTCTCTATACCTCTCCCTTCCTCTGTGTAAAAAATCAATAAAATATATTTTTAAAAAAAACACCAAGACTCTCACTTTGCCACGCAACCTGTTTGGTACTGGACAGTTCTGCTTCTTAGATGGTTCTTTTAGATTTTTCATCAAGAAGTGTTCCTTTTCATCCAAGTTTTGCCATTCTGGGCCCTTCAGAACAAGTCCCATCTTGGGTGTCTATCTTTATTGTTCTATTTTTTATTTTTTATTTACCGAAGTAATAATACTTGTTATAGGAGTGCTCCTTACCTACCATCCAGAGCCCAACAAGTGCCTAAGTGCTTCCCATCCTCAGAGGTGAAGGGGATTTCTGCTGTGGACCCAGGCCAGGCAGAGATTTGGGATGGCGGAGTGGAGTAATCGCACCAACAGAGGCTGTGCCTGGGAGTGACGGCCCCGGCTGGTACAGCCAGGCCCTTGTGCTGCGGACAAATGCATTCAGGAAGGAGACTCTGAGAGTAAGTCAGCTCTCGAGAGGAACTCTGGTTCTGATGTGGCAAACTATCCCAAGGAGGAAAGGAAAGCACAGGTGACGAGAGAAATCAACATGCCGTAAACCTGGTTTATAAGCTCAGAATTTTAACAGGCACTGCCCTCGCTGGTTTGGCTCAGTGGCTGAAAGTGGATTGAAGGGTCCCGGGTTCAATTCTGGTCAAGGGCACATATCCAGATTGTGGGCCTGATCCCCAGTAGGGGCATGCAGGAGGCAGCCAATCAATGATTCCCTCTCATCATTAATGTTTCTATCTCTCCCTCTCCCTTCCTCTCTGAAATCAATCTCTCTCTATATATTTTTTCTAAATATTTTATTGATTTTTTTACAGAGAGGAAGGGAGAGAGATAGTTAGAAACATCATCTGGGTCTCTGGCATCCCTGAGACTCTAGGGGCCACTCCTAAAATGTAAAAAAGTCCACATCTAAAATATACCGCCCGCTGGCCACCAAGACCTGAGAGAGGAGAGTCCTGATGTGTAAAGGGACAAGGAATGAGAGACAGAGAGAGCCAGGTGGCCAAACTGCAAAGGTTTCCAATTCAGCGTCATGACAGTGATAGGGGGACTTATAACCCAATAATAGAGCACCTGAATTCATCCGAAAAAATAATTATATTATTTTAACTCTTAGAACACAAATACTTGTGTGACTAGGAAGTTAAGTTTCTTATATGTGAATAGGGGGCTAAGTTTTTCTTAAGTTTCTTTTTCAAGGCCTGGGCGAAGTGGTTAAGGAGGTGACTCAGCTGAGAATCCAGCAAGCAGATCTTGTAAGCAGGGTCAGACTGACCCACCAGGAGTCAAAAACATCATCCCATCAACATCCTCTCGTCGCCTGATAGCTAAGGACAGTAGCTGCCGTCTGAGGACCCCCAGGGTTGCATGTAGCTAAACTCCATTCCCAGGCTCACCCCAGCCCCTTCCCCTTTATAGTCCTGTCTCCTGCACCTTGCTGTAAGACAGGATTTGAATGCTTGTAAGAGCCCTGTCTTGCTGGTTGGCTGGCCTTCTCAATGAACGCCTTATATGATTTGTTATTGGACACAGCAACAGGCAGCCGGAGCCCAATGGTGTCGGGGTGTGGGGGGGAGAGGGGAGGGAGTTGACAGCCTGATTGATGCCTAACTGCTCCCCTGTCAGCCTGATTGCCCCTAACTGCCCTCCCCTGCAAGCCTGGTCACCCCTGACTGCCCTTCCCTGCAGGCCTGGCCACCCTTGACTACCCTCCCCTGCATGCCTGGTCACCCCTGATTGCCCTCCCCTGCAGGCCTGGGTCCCCCACTCCCATCCCCCCACCCCACCCCCGCCAACTGCTCTGCCCTGCATGCCCTGTTGCCCCCAACTTCCCACCTCTGTTCCTGATAACAACAGGAGAACAGAGAGAGAAAGGAAGGAGGGTCCTATCCTATCAGCTCCATGCCTCAAGCTCACAAGAACAGGAAATACAATAGAAAAGAGGCTGATCTGCTATGCATAACCTGTTATGGCGGCCCCGCCCACAATGTGCACTCAAACCAATCAGATCCTCACGAGCAGGAAGGTGGCACTAGAAGAACACTTCCCACTGCTCACCAGCAACTGACACCCGCCAAGCCTTGTAAACATAATGCACAACCCACGGACACAGACAATAGGGTGGTGAAGGCGAGGGGCGAGGAGGGGAAGGAACTGGCTAGAGGGGGTCAATGGGGGGTGGGGGGATGGAAAGGGACATATGTAAAAATGTA